AACAGTTCCCATCTCGGAGGACAGTTCGGATGGTATGAGGTGAAGACTTACATCTGTAGGTGCATTTTCTATGTCCTCGGCTTGGGGGGGAAGTACGGCTGGGTGACCGGCCTAACCTTCTATTCGGGTCCATTTGGATAGACCTGCTTACCCTGAACATCTCTGTGTTCCTTTGGCGCCTTCTTCTGCGCCAGATTCCGATCGACTCTGTGTTGTAGGCGAGGAGAGTTTTCTTCCCCTCACGGTGTTACTGCTGTGTCGAGACCGGTGATTTACAGACTGAGATTTTTTCGCATTTATTTTTACAAAGCGAGGTTGCGATGAGAGTGTGAGAGCATTTTTCCATTTATACTCATATACCCATACACATTACAGATTGGTTTTTAGTGCTCCTGAGATTTTTCTCACAACGCAAACACTTTAGACAAGTGGGCTTCCTCATCCCTTGTTTGATCATGTGGTTCATCTAGGCAGATAGGAATAGTGTAAAGTATATCCCTCCTCACAGCTATGGACAGACTCACACATAAAGACTGGACTGGTTGCACGCCGCCCCACCAGTTCGTACCATCTCCACTGCCGCCTGTCCAGCACCCATGCCCCAGGGTCGTTGTTTGGCTGAGACCCGACTCCCCGTCAAGCTAAACATTGACAGATCTTTCGACCGACTTACTAGAGCTGCTGGAGGTGGGGGCCTGATTAGGGATCACAGCGGAGTTCTCATTACCGCCTTACACGCCCCTCTTCATGCCTCCTCGAGCTACAGTGTGGAGCTTGAGGCACTTCAAATCAGTTTTCAAATTGCAACCTCTATCTCTACTCACATTTGGATTGAGTTAGATGCTTCCGCTGTCGCCACTCTCTTGACCTCAGGCCACCAGGGCTCGTGGCAGATTTTGCATCTGCTCATGCGCATCAGATCCACACTTCAGTCGGTTCGCTACCGGATCTCGCACATCTTCCATGAGGGGAACCGACCCGCTAACTATCTGGCCAGCCTAGGTACTTCCAGCTCACATAGGCGCACTTTCCACCTGGACGATGCTCTCTCCGACTTAGTACTCGTGCGGATGGACCAGGTTGACTACCTCTCGTTTAGATTCTAGTAGTTATATAGAGAAGCTTAAACAGTCGTATAGAGAAGCTGTTATAAGAAGAGAATTACACAACATTTGTACAAATAGAGAGAATGATGTAGAGCTTGAATTGTTGTTTAACTCAATGAAGATTACAAGGTATTTATACAAGCCAAAGGAGATGAAAGAAAGGAAAGAAATCAAAGGACCTAATCTACGAGATTTACCATATCATCTAATTGATACAACCTAATCTATATCATATCAACAAGATACAATTGCCATATTTATCGTATAAGAATATCACAAGATATTCTCTCAATACTCCCCCTCAAGTTGGAGCATGAAGATCACAAATGCCCAACTTGCCGAGAATGCCAAATAAGGAGTCACGACCCAAAGTCTTGGTGAAACAATCCGCTAACTGACGGTTGGAAGAAACAAGACGTGGAACCAAAAGCTTGGAAAGAATGTGATGGCGAATAAAATGACAATCAATCTCAATGTGTTTTGTGCGCTCATGAAAAACAGGATTCGAAGCAATGTGGATGGCAGCACGATTGTCACAAAAAAGAGGGACTGGAACTGATTGAGAAACATGCAACTCATCAAGAAGACGGACAAGCCAAACCAATTCACTAGTTGTAGATGCCATAGCCCTATACTCAGCTTCAGCAGAAGAGCGAGATACAATAGATTGCTTCTTGGAACGCCAAGAGATCGGAGAATCACCCAAGAAAACAATAAAGCCGGTAGTGGAACGACGAGTGGACGAACATCCTGCCCAATCAGCATCACAATAGGCGCGCAACTGAAGAGAACTAGAAGAAGGGAAGAGGAGACCCTGACCAGGAGCATTCTTCAAGTAGCGCAAAACACAAAGAGCAGCCTCATAGTGAGGGATACGCGACTGGTGCATAAATTGGGAAAGAACATGGACTGCATAGCTGATATCGGGACGTGTGACAGTGAGATAGAGAAGACGACCAACGATACGTCGATAACGCCCAGGATCATCAAATAACTCCCCAGAGTCGACAGAGAGATGATGCTGCTGCTCCATGGGGGTCGAGATCGGTCGGCAACCAAGAAGACCGCATTCTTGGAGAATATCAAGCGCATATTTTCTCTGGCTGAGAGCAATACCCGTAGAAGAGCGAGCTATCTCAATACCAAGAAAATATTTTAAAGGGCCAAGATCTTTAATGCTAAATTGCTGGTGAAGGTACTTCTTAAGTTGGAGAATCTTGGAAACATCATTGCCGGTGACGATGATATCGTCAACATAAATAAGAACAGCCATAAAAGAAGACCCCTTTGAATAAAGAAATAGTGATGAGTCGGATGAAGACTCATGAAAACCAGCGGTAGTAAGAGCTTGAGCAAGCTTATGGTACCAATTTCGCGATGCTTGACGAAGTCCATAGAGGGATTTCTGAAGCCGGCAAACACGCGTCTCCCCCTGTTTGGCAAAACCTTGAGGAATCTTCATGTAAACTTCCTCATGTAAGTCGCCATGTAGAAAGGCATTAGTGACATCGAGTTGATGCAGCTCCCATTTACG